GGAGAGAATACGATATAGAAATATGATTGACAATCATGATGAAATAAAGAATAAAGGCTGAAAGAAATAAAATGAAAAACGGGAAAGTTATAGCCAAGGAAATATCAAACCAATGCTATATCTAAAATAAGAATTTATGGGCTTGAGTCTGAGACCTTAAAAAAACAGAATTTTAAAAATTTCTTTAGGAACTATTTCTGTTTTTTTCCACTTGTTTCTGGAGGAGTCTCTGACATGGCAAGAATCATCCAGATCAAAGACACATTCTCACCAATTATTGGCCAACTAACCTTTCATCCTTGACTTCTTGGGCTCACTCATCAGCATGCACAGGGACCAATGCAGTGGCCAAGCATATATTATCTATGGGCATAGTTCAAATTCTTTGGAAAAGCGAATAGTCATAGCTCAGTTATTTACACAGACCGCACAGGTCATGGATTACTGATCACCAATTTAGACCTACCTCCAGTGAGCCACTGCTTCCTGCACCACTCACCATGGCCAAGCAGGGTGCGGGGGATGGGGGTATGAGACTGAAGGTCTCAGGAGGAGAGCCTCTTAAGGAACAGCTGGAATAAGCTCTAAGATGTGCACAATGAAACAGTGAAATAAAACTGCATCTGTGCCTTAAAGTGTGGTGGCTGGTGTGTGTGTGTGTGTGTGTGTGTGTGTGTGTGTGTGTGTGTGTGTGTGTGTCTCAGAATCTGGGTAGAGCTCTGCAGCAGGATGACACACATGTTGGCTTATGGGTGAAAGACAGAAAGCAAAGAATACCCACAGAGATGGGGGTGAGGGACCCTGAAATCGAATACTTCCAAGACAACTGAGCGGGTGAGGGAGAGATCCAATGATGTTTTCTAAATCTTGAGTGTATTTTGTTGGTTATTTTGGGGGCAAGGAGCACACCTGACTGTGATCAGGGTTTACTCTTCATTCTGTGCTCAGGGGTTACTGTTGGTAGGGCTCAGGGAACTGCATGTGGTACCGGGAATTGAACCAGGTCAGATGCGTGCAAGGCAAGTGCCCTACCTTCTGTGCTATCTCTCTGGCCCCAGCTTTACTTTTTATTCTTTGGAAAGAAACCAGCTGGAGACAAGAGAAGGACTTGACTGGGGCTCAGTCATTTGTCTAATGGTGGAAGGATGTTTCCCATCTCTGTTCTTTAACTGCAGAGCTGGCAAGGGAACTGCACTTTTCATTGAGCAAGTATACCAGCTCTTGGGTTTACTAAATGACCTGCTCTGTCATAGTGGGAACCACCCCAGCTCATTGCTCATTTCCCTGTGAGTGATGCCATAAAATATGCTGAAGAGCAGGACGAAGTCAAAAATCAGTTCCAGTTGATTGGATGCATGAATGCTTGGAGTTGGTATTGCTTCCCCTTACACGCAGGCATGCAAGAGAAACATCCCTAGCCTTCTCTTGTCTGTCCCACAATCTGAATCTCATTTTGGAACAAGTGGGTGCAGGAGTCCAGAGTCTTGGTTTTGGGTCAAAGGGGTAGTTCAGAAGTTATGGTGCTTGCCTTGGATATGGACAACCCTGGTTCAAAGCTCTGGCAACAGATATGGTCCCCCTGAGCACTGTCAGGGGTCGGGGATCAGTCTGGAGCAGAGCCAGGAATAGTCCTTACGTACTGCAGAGAGTGGTCCCCAAATAAAAACAACCGAAACGAAAAGAAATTCTCAGCTTTAGAATTTCCAAGTTGGATGTTGAACGTTGGATCTTGGATGGTTGAATGCTAGATATTTGATGACTGGATGTTGGATATTAGAAGGCTGGATTTTGAATATTGGATGCCTGGATATCGGAATGGTTAGATGATAGAATGTTGGATGTTGGATGACAGGATGTTGAATACTGGATGGTTGATGTTGTATTTTAAATATTGGATGCATGGATATTGGATGTTGGATGGTTGGATGGCTGGATGTTGAATATTGGATGTTGGATATTGGAAGTCTGGATGTTAGATATTGGATGGCTGGATGGAGATGCTGTATATTGTATGCATGGATATTGTATGTTGGATGGCTTGATGGTGGATGTTGGATGTTGGATGGTGGAATGATGGATGTTGGATGGTAGATGTTGGGTGCAGGATGTTGACCACACTCTTTGAACTGTGTGACCAAAGAAAAATGCATGACTTGTCTGATCTCCAAATCATCTGATCAAATAAATAGGAATCCTACAGGAATTCTCTTTAGAGAAAGGGAATGTGGGTTAAATGAAAGTGACGGGCCGGGGGATAAACATCAGCCCCCATCAGCCCCCTTCTTCCCCTAGCCCCTCTGGGGTCCATCTCCTCACTGCCCTGTGCTCTGCAGTATCTCCCTTGGGTCTCCGCTGACTCAGAGCTCCTCCTGTCCAGGTGCTCCACATGGCTGCATCTCAACATTCCTTTCACGCCAGGCCCAGCAGGCACATGCATCCCTTTGGTAAGCAACTGCACTTAGGTGTGATTGCCATAAAAGCTGTCGAAAATATAGGATGTGCTCAATAGCTTCCTGGTGAGTAGGATATCCACAGTGCTGTATTGTCTGAATAGAAAAACAACATAACAGAGAACGTCTGCTATTTCTTTGGGCCTTCATGTGCCATGGGTAAGAATTACCCGAGTGTGTGTTGGGAAAATGTTCTAGAACCTCCAATATAGGAAAATGGTCTGGGTTAGAGAAATAACGGTGCTTACTATGCTAGCATGTCATGGTCACAGTCACACCCTGACTACTAATAAATCATCAAGCCCTTGCAATTTCCTAGGCATTATTTCAGGCATCGAGGTCTGTTTTAAGAGAAGGGTTCCATGTCTGAACACCTTAAAAATGTTTAAGTTTTATTGTGAGGGGTGGGCAGGAGGGTGGTTGAGCCACACCAGGTGCTCAGGGGCATTCTTGGCTCTGTGCTGAGGAGCAGTCGGAGCAGGTGCCCAGCGGGATCATGTGATGCTGGGGACTGAACTGGGGTCAGCTGCCTGCACGGCAAGTGCCTTACCTGCTGTACTCTCTCTCGGCACCTTCGCCCTCTGCATCCCCACATCAGCTCTACAACAGGAGCTGGTGTCCCCCGTATCACAGCAGAGAAGGCAGGCCTAGAGAGAAAAAGTAATTGCTCTGTGTAAGCAAATACACAGGTGCTGGGAGTCCCAGTGAGGGCTCCTGCCTGGAAACTCAGACCCTTGAGCCCTTTGCTCACCCGACTAGACTGCCAAGAGAAAGTGCAGCTGTTGGGGTGCCCAGAGCCACAGGCGCTGGATTTGAGGAGATAGCAAACCATGCAAACTCAGCAAATATATGCACACAGGCAGTGACCCAGGCTACACACACACACACACACACACACACACACACACACACACACACAGTAACCTTGGCTAGACCACACACACTCACGCAGTGACCCAGGTATTTGTGGAAACTAATAACACTCAGTAAGATAGAAACTCTTCCCTTACATCATGATCTGGCCATGCTTATGGCCCCTCTTGCATGCAGGGTGGTTAATACAACCGTAAAAAGATATCCCTGCTAACTGTAATGTCGGATGGCTGGGGATGCACCCACACAGACTGCCAGCTCCCAAGGCACGTGCCTCAGGTCCCTCGTCGTTTTGACTTTAGTTCTGAAGCTTGTCCTTGAAATTGGTGCTATTTCAGCTCTCCTCATTGTGTTCTCTCTCCTGACTCCTAGGCATCAGGACTCTTGTAGCCCTTCCTTTGATCTGCTCTGGCCGATGGCAGCCCAGCCCCACTGACACCCCAAGTTCGCTGCCTATCTCAGAACCTGTGGGTTAAGTGTCAGTGCACCACCAATGCTGGCTGCTGGCGGCACCTCTGGTTTGAGTAAATACCCACCCAACTCAGCCATCATCAAGTCTTTGGGTCTATCACTTGAGGTTAGAGCTCGGCTTGTGGATGGCAGAGAGTTGACAACACACTCTTCCCCTGGGTGTCAGCGGCAGTAACAGTGCAGCCTAACAGCTCACTCTGGCCCCCGGAGCAACAGGAGCATCACTCGGGCATCTGTTCTGTTAGCCACAGGGATCATTTCCATCTCAATGGCCAGGGCTGGGGTGCAGAGAAATGCTCAAGGCTGGGGAGCATCCCAGAAGTAGCTGATCTCTCAGCCCCCAAGGTCAACAGCGTTGGGTCTAAGCCAAGTTCCAGAACCACAAATAGCTGCAGAGGGTCCTGGGAAGAGTCGTGACTGATGGGACAGCACAAGATGCAGCCTCAGCCCTACTGCCATGGAAGAGAGGATTTTTAGAAACATCATTTCATTTCATTTCATTTCATTTCATTTCATTCTTTACTCTCCCGCTCTGCTTCCCTCCATGGGGACACAGGAACTGTCGGTTACACTCTGCATTGGGCGCCTTGCTGAAGGGTAGGGGTGCACTCCTGCAGGATACGCTCATCCTTATTTATTTAGCTTGGGGGCCACACTTGGCGATGCCAAGAAGTCACACCCAGGCTTGAGGATGTCATGGGCTTCCAGTATGCGCATACGCCCACAGAGCCACCTCTTTGAACCTCACGCATCTTTTCAGATCCAGGACTTGTAGCTGTGGAGCTGACACACACAGGGCTGTGGCACATCCAGAAATCACTCCTAGAGCTGGGGGTCACACACTGCAGAGCTTCTGGAATCCCATGCAGCACATGTGGGAGGCACCAGGGATCAAACTCGTGGTCGTGCGCCTGTAATGTTGTACTTTAGACAGACTCCCCTATGATGACAGGTTCCGATGGCCAACGGGTGTCAGTTACAGGGATTACCAGAGAAGGAAATGCTACTATTGGGGCCGGGGAGATTGTGCAGTGGGTAGGGCTCTTGCCTTGTTTGCAGCTGACGTGCATTCCATCCTCATCACCTTTGAGGGCCCTCTGAGCACTGCCAGAAGTGCCCCCTGAGTGCAGGACCACGAACAGGTCCTGAGCATTGCTAGATGTGGCCCCAAACTCTTACAAATAGGATCCGTGCATCACATGGTCATATGTTTAATAAATATTTATTAAGTGCCTATTTTGTGCCATTTAGTTTTTATCTTACATGGGTAAAGAAAATAGTTACCATATTGTGGGTGACATTATGCCACACTTTAAACATAGTTTCCCCACTTGTGAGTTTTGTTTTTTGTCAACTGGGGATGGGAAGTGAGTATGAAAGCAAGATTTGTTACCCTTCAAATGGCAGAGAAATCACACCTGTCAAATTTACCTTCCTTCCTTCCTTCCTTCCTTCCTTCCTTCCTTCCTTCCTTCCTTCATTTCCTCCCTCTCTTCCTCCTTTTCTTTTTTTGGAGGTTATACCTAGTGATGCTCAGGAGTTACTCCCAGCTTCGCACTCAAGAACTATGCCTGGTAGTGCTTGGGGGACCATCTGGGATGCAGGGATCAAACCCGCGTTGGCCCTGTGCAAGGCAAAAGCCCTACCTGCTACACTATATTACTCCCAGCCCTTCACACCCGGCAAATTTCAACAGCTGGCATGACAGTTCTGTGCATAAGCAGACACAAAACCCTTTTTCCGAGACAGTATCTGGGTGCTGGTCTCAAGAATCATAACTTGCTTATAGTGTGTTTGTGGTGCATCAGGAAGAGCTCTTCGGAGGATGACCTGAGGTTGCTGAGATTAAACTCAACCTCAAAGGTGGGTTTCCCCTCCAAAATAATCAAGGCAACGAGCAGGGCAGCTCTTGCAGTTATTCCCCGGATGTGGTAGGTCGCCCCATTTTCAGGGCTGGTGTACTCAAAGCAGTGGATGATTGCAGGAAGGCCATTCTTGAGGATGCGCTCCTGGTGGTAGACAACAGGGTGCAGGAAATACTCCAGAGGCACAAGGAATACTTCTTGGACTTCCTCGGGGTTGGGCTGTGCTTGGAAGTTGTGATCTATGAATCCCACAACTGGGATGATCAACGCATCTCTCTGAAAGCAGAAAACAAAACCCACAAGTGAAGAGATGCGTCTCAGATGCACAAGCCAGCCGTGGGGGGTCGGTAGGGGAGAAGGAGCCTGTTGGGGAAATCAGCTTGAGGGTGTCCCTCCTCCGAACGTGAGCAGGCCTTGCCCTTGGAGTGGCAGAACAGTGAGAGGACCCCGAAAACAGCTCTTCTGTGAACACACCCCAGAACACTCTTGGGGAGTGGCAGTTTGGCCCTATTGCTACAGCGGGGTCCCCCGGCCTCGTCATAGCGTTTGTGTAGTAAGTCCATTTTTCTGGTGATTCCTATGTTCGGAAGCATTATTTGCAATAACCCCCTAAGTGTGGGTGGGCATTTATGGGACACCCAGTGAGAGGACATCCTATAACAGGATGTGCTGCAGCGTCTGTGATGAATGTGGTGAGACAGTACAGATAAGGATGTTCCACCTTACCCGTAGAAAAATAAATATTCATTACGGAATAGACTCCCTTAAGGGAAAGTGGGATGTGAATGACTTGACATCATGTGACTCCATGCTGCAGGTGGGGACGGGAGGTGCTGTTTACAGCACAGCTGCTTGTTCGTGAATCTCAATGCTGCCAAGGGCAGGCTTGTCCCAGAAACCTGGAGGAGGAGGAGATCGGGGTGCCATGGAGGGACAGAGCTGATTATTGCTGATTCCCTGAGTTAGGAAATGGGAAGATCTAGAGTTCCTGGGGTGTCCTGAGAGAAAGGGGTGGGGACATGGAGGGGGAGAGGCCTAGAAGAGTAACCAAGATTTTGGGAACTTATGGGTGAAACAGCATCGCTGGACTTGTGGTCCCTAAAAACACAGGCATCGTGGGCAGAAAAAGGTGGTGTGTGGCAGATCTCCCAGGACCAGTGCCAGGGGCTTCTTAGCTGTGACAGAGTTAAGTGACAAAGATCCTTTATAAAACAGGGGAAATTGGTCATGAGGCATCAGAACGCCACCTGACTCGTACATTTTCTCTAAGTCTATGACAACTTCTAAATTCAAATTTAGCGCTAAGCCCTGAACAACCTGGGGCAGGGAGGCAGTGGTCCTGGTTCTTGTGTGGTTTAAAGGTGCAGGTAGGGCTAATCAGACAGTGGGTGTTTGCCTGGCATGAGGTTGAGGTGGATTTGAAGCCTGGCATCCCTAAAGGCCCCATGAGCCCTGCTAGGAGTGATCCCTGAACAGAGAGCCAGGAGTCAGCTCCGAGAACAGCCAGGCATGGCTACAAAACAACACACACACACACACACACACACACACACACACACACACTCACACACAGAAAAGTAAACATGTGTGTAACTTTGGACTTCAGACCACACGCTATTGCAGTTGTCCTTTGGGGTCGGGCGGGGATTGGATTCAGGGGTCTTGATCCCCCACTTCGAATACCAAAATACAAAGATATTCAAGTCACTCCTGGTTATCCTCTCTCCCCCAACCTCCCCATCTCTGCAGGTTCCTCATTCACATACTTGATCCCTGCAACACTCAGTTTGGTCTGAACCTGTGAACATAGAATCTGCAGAGAGGAAAAGAGCTCAGGTGGCTACGTGTACATGTACCCTGCTAAACTACTGCTCCTGGCCAAGCCCCAGTGTAGATATGTAGACTATCATATATATGATGTATATGATATATAAACACACACACACACACACACACACACACACACACACACACACACATATATATATAAGTCTTTTTTAACCCAGCAATGCAGAGGAGTTACTCCTGGCTCTGTACTCAGGAGATTTTTCTGGTGGTGCTTGGGGGACCATAGGGATGCTGAGGATCGAACCCAAGTTGGCTGTGTGCAAGGCAAATGCCCTACCTGCTGTACTATTGCTCTGGCCCCAATAATATAACATATATAACATATAATATTTATACGAATATTAACAATATTCATATAAAGTAGCCCTGTAGCACTGTCCTCCCATTGTTCATCAATTTGCTCAAGCGGACACCAGTAACATCTCCAATGTGAGACTTGTTGTTACTGTTTTTGGCATATTGAATATGCTATGGGTAGCTTACCAGACTCTGCCGTGTGGGCGGGATACTCTCGGTAGCTTGCTGGGCTCTCCGAGAGGGATGGAAAAATTGAACCCGAGTCGGCTGCATGCAAGGCAAATTGCCCTACCCGCTGTGCTATTGCTCCAGCCCTATATATAAAAAATATATATATATAGCAAAATAGCTTAAGGTATTTAAGGAGGACTTGATAAATATGAAATGCCATTATTATTATTATATTTTCAATTATTAATAGCTGAGAAGGCTTAATATACTAGCAATTGAAGCTACATTCTACATTACTCAAAGTCAGGATAAATTTAACAACTATTAATTATTGACCTCAAAAAGAAAGCCAATGAAGCCACAGTGAGGCATTATACATAGGGGACTTTTGGAAAAATTCTGTCATCTTTCAAAGATTAGCAAGTTGCAGCCCCTTCCTTCACTGCCTGCGCCCCCCCACCCCTGCCCCCAGCCCCAAACAACAACACACAGTTCTCATTGAGAGATGAACGCACAGGCAGTAGCACCAGCCTGCATCAGACATGAATTCTTTCCTTTTTAAAAAACGGGCCAGATATTGCAGTGCTGGGGGGTGCCATGGGGTGTTGGGGATGGAACTCTGGGTCCATCACGTGGGAGGCAGATCATCCACCACTCACCCCCTCTCCCCAGTTCTTGGCTTTGGGGGCACCTGTGTGTGTATGTGCACCCTTGCGAAGGAATCCCAGCGCACATAGTGAAACAGTTACAAACTGCTCTGAAGCCTCGTGCTTGGTGCATGCATGGAACTGCTCAGTGAAAGCAGAGTCGCTTTTCTGGAATCCACAGAAGGAGCAGGGAGGGAAAGTGCTCAGTGCATAGGTGGCCTCTCGGGGCTAACATTCGGCATACAGTATGCTCCAGTGGATGGTGTTTTCTCCTATGAACTTTTCAAAATAAACTGGAGAAAACTTTAACAAATGCAAATGAAATCATTTGACGGCCTCTACGTTCAGGCTGAAAACCACCTAGAGACCCCATTTCAGATGAAAAACGAGAGGCCCAGGCAGAAACTGGAATTTGCCCTAGGCCGCCGGGTTTGAGAGGCAAAATCTACAGAAGAACCTGGACTGGAAGGTCCGTGGGTCTCCGGCAGGGGGACAGGCCAGCTCAGGGGCCCTAAGCTGGCACCTATGAGAGCCAGGGCTGTGGGAGGCTTACGTCCAACAGGTGAGGCACCAGGCGGCAGACGACGTCCACTCGCTGAGGCTCCAGCCCGACCTCCTCCTGGGCCTCCCGGAGTGCTGTGGCCACATCGTCCACATCGGTGGGCTCATGCTTGCCTCCAGGGAAACACACTTCTCCCGGTGACCGTCTTAGCTGCAGAGGGACAGAGCAGAGCCACCTACATAAGCACCAACCTGGAAACTTCCATCACTCCACAGACACTCCCTCACGCCCCCCCCCCCCCCCCCCCCAGCCTCTGGACTGTCCTCGGGCTGGTGACAGCATGTGAGGAATAAGGATACCCTCCCCGCCCTGATGATTTTTTTTTTTAACTTGAATCCTTTAAAGATTTTGAGAACTTCCCTCATTTCTGATTTTTCTCTGCTGGTCCCCCAAAGATGCACACATGTGATTTGTGGGTAACAAGACCTCCTTCCTCACTCAGGCAAAGCATGTACCCTGCTACTCTGAGGCACCCTGGGCTATTTATTTTCACCCAAAGCAAAAATTCATGGTCTAAAAGGCACCATTTTAGAGTGTCCAGCGGCCACCCCCATGCACATCCTTGAATCCAGCCCTCCCTAACTTCAGGAGTACAGGCTGTGTCTTCATTTGTAGCATCTAATAGTTTATCTTTTCTTATCTGGCTTAAACATAATTTCCTCGCACAGAAAACTGGTTTGGGCTGGAGCAATAGCACAGTGGGTAGGGCGTTTGCCTTGCAAGCGGCCAACATGCCGACCCCAGTTTGATTCCTCTGCCCCTCTCGGAGAGCCCGGCAAGCTACCGAGAGTATCTCACCCACACAGCAAAGCCTGGCAAGCTACCTGTGACGTACTCCATATGCCAAACACAGTAACAATTGTCACAATGGAGACGTTACTAGGCCCGCTTGAGCAAATCAATGAACAACGGGAGGACAGTGACAGTGACAGAAAGCTGGTTTGACGAAATGAGTGCTTTGCAATCAGGATGCCTAGCTTTAATGCCGGCACCCAGGGTCCCGCAGGAGTGTGGTCTGAGCACCCCTGAGTACCATGGGTGTGACCAGAAACCAAACCAACCATGGGAATGACAATCTCCTGAAAGCAAACGCTCCACTTTTCCTTCCGCCACAGACAGAACCAAACTCCCCAGCAAACAGGAAGCTCAGCTTCTTTCAGGATCCTTCTGCCCCCGCCATCATCCAATCTGTTTTTTTTTTAAATTTTTAATTGAATATCCGCGAGATAGACCATTACAAAGCTGTTCATCCTTGAGTTTCAGTCATACAATGATCCAGCACCCACCCTTCACCCTTGTACATTTCCCACCACCACTGTCCCCTGTTTCCCTCCCACCAAGCCCCCACCCCAAGCCTCCCTCTATGGGGGACACTTTCCTCTTGCTCTCTCTCTCTCTCATCTTTTCCTTTTGGCGCATTATGGTTTGCAGTACAGGTGCTGAGAGGTCCTGATGTTTGTTCAGGGCAATTGGTATTTTCATCAGGAAGGCGAGGCTGAAGTAGCTTTTTGATTGACATCCAATCTGTTCCAACTGCCCACAGCCCTGGCCCACGGGGGGCTGGCTCAGCCCTGTTCTTCCCAGCACGTGGTGATGCTGCTGCTGGTGGTGGTAGGATGGTGTTGTGCCAGCTGCAGTGTGGTGTGATGTTCTTGATGATTGCAGTGCCGGTGATGGCTGGTGTTGGTGGCGGTGGGTTTGATGGGTCCATGCTGATGGCAGTATCGATGGTTGATGACTATCGTGGAATTGGTGTGGGAAATACTGATGGTGACCACAATGCCTGGGATGGTGGCTGAGGTGGGAACGCTGTAAGCAATGACTGCGGTGTTGGTGATGGTGACAATAGTGTCGCAGAAGACAACCACTGTTCTGACAGCCACTTATGATCCCTGATGAAAGAACCATCGGTGTCTACAGTTCTTTCTGATGAAAGAACCATTGGTGTCTACAGAGTGGCTCACCTGAGGTTACGGCTAAAGAGTCCTCAGTGCCCCGCCCAGGCAAGACATTGGATGTGACCCAACATGGTGAGGTAGTTCTTGATGTTCAGAAGCGACACCAAGGTCAGGATGGCACTTGGGGCACCAGGGCCACGGGAGCCATACGTGGATCAACTAGATGCCACTGCAAATGTGCCCGAGTTCTCTAGCTGGAAGTTCCACTGGGCCAAGCTCTCTTGAGAAATGAAAGACATCGTTGAAACATTTCTCTGGGCTCGTAAGTCTGCCAGAGTTGTGACTACAGTAGAAACCTCAGGTGTCTGCACGTCATTTCTTATTAGCAGAGTAGCTGGGAACAAAACGGACAGACAGGCTTCTACTGGACTCAACATTTGGCACCCAAATGCCTAAAGAAGAGAGGAGGCTCTGACGGCCTCTGACAATGCCACCCATTGTGCTGGCACTCGGGTTTCAAAGCGACACTGACTAATAGACTGACGGGGCACAGCAGGCTTGACAGGAATCCGAGCCTGATTTGATGGTCATTTTTGTTTTGAAAGCTTTTCAAAAAGATTTCTCAGTAGGCCAGTTCAGCTCCGTTGCCTTCTACACCTCGTTCCGTTAATGATGACCACAGGCCACTCTGGAGGAGTGAGAATTTCTATTCTTAAGAAAATGGGGGGCTGTTCTGAAGAAATTATGAAACATTCATAAAAATAACTGTTCACATCTATCAGTCCTCAGAAGCATGCTAAATAGAGAAGGTTTGACTTGGAGGGGGGGACACGGGGAAGGAAAGGAATCAATATTGATCTTGCCTGACATAGACCAAAAATGATTGACAGGAGTCTAATCACTAAGCCCCCCCCCAAATCTTGGCTGATCCCTCAGGCTTTATTTGCTTGTTTCGATTTTGTTTTTTCTCTTTTCTGCTAAGGGGACACTTCCTTATCAGACTTAGAAAACACATTGCCATGGCTCCTTTTTCCTTTGTACTCGGAAAACTCAGAAGTCACTGTGTCCCCTACCAGGACATTCACTCCATGGCTTGAAGGCCAGTTGCACATGCTAGGGGAAAAGGCAGCTCAGATAGAGAAGGGAGCACCAAGTAAAGGGTGTTGGATCCTCCCAGCATGGAAGAAGCATGCTGAAAGTGGACTATAGACCGAACATGATTGCCACTCCATGCCTCTTTTGCAAACCACAGCACCCAAAAGCAGAGAGAGAACAAAAGGGAATGCCCTGCCACAGAGGTGGGGTGGGACGGGGGGATGGGACAGGGGGTACGAGGGGGGATGGTAGGGCTATTGGGATCCTTGATGGTGGGGAATGGGCACTGGTGGAGGGATGGGTACTCGATCCTTGTACAACTGAAACCCAAGCACAAAAATTTTTAAGTCTACAACTGTACCTCATGGTGTTTCACTAATAAAAATTGAAAAAAAAAAAGAAGTCACTGTGTCCCCAACTTTCCCTGGGTGGGAAGAAGTCCCAACAGCAGGTGCTGTGCTCTGCCCAGATGTCTCCATCCCCAGCTCAACATTCACGCTTTGTCTTCAGACCATGGGCGATGGAGGCGAATGTGATGCCTCTTGACCTTTGGCCAACCCTCGCCTCCTCTGGTCTTGCTTCCTTTCCGGAGTCCTCCTTACCTGCTGGTTTATTCCCTGAGCCTCATACCATAGCTCAGTAATGCAATTTTTACCTGTTGCCTCCTTAGAAGTCCCTGGGGCACACAAGGGCCATGTTGTTGAGAAATGCAGAGCTAAGAGGCCCACAATGAAAAGCTAAGCCCCAAGTCCTGACCACGGGCTTCACCCTGTACCTGTCAAACCACTGCAGTGAGCCTAGGCGGTGGACACGAAAAGTGTGTCCTCAGCTTTCCAGTGAAGAGGAGAGGGCAAGGACGTAGGAGAATGACACACAGCTGGCCAGAAGGAAACGCATACAAGCACAGGTAGCCAGCTTCAGGGTCCAGGCTGTTCTCTTCTACATAGCACTCAGCCCAGATGCCAATGGAACCAAGGTTAAGAAACTGAAAGGCATCTTAGTCTCTCATGGCTACATCACTTATTATTCTTCCCCAAGCTCCGCCATCCCCCCGAAATATGCTGTGTTTGTTGTCCGATGCTTTTCTTGGACCCTTCCAATATCACACATTGGGGACTTCTACTTCAGAGTCTGGGCCCCAAAGTGTGTGCCAGTGACATTTTGTTGGTTTCCGAACATTTTTTTGTCACCTACCTTCTTTGACCGGAGGGTGAATAAGAGGTGGAGCCTCCCCTCCTTAACCAACAGTGGCAACAGGATGGAGTACTTGTTAGGGACCCAGTGAGAGTACTTGGCCCCCACATCATGCTCCCTCAAGCGGGCCTTGGCGTCCTCCACCACACTCTTTCTAAAACGGAAACAGACCAGGCAAACGTTTCAGTCTACAGACTTCCAGTGAAGAGCTTCCCCTCCCGCCCGAGTTTTCGTCTTGGTGGGTGAGCGCTGGGCTCATCGTGTCTGCCTCTCAGTTTGTGTTTCACTAACAAGGCAGAGCCTGGCACGCTCCCCGTGACATATTCAATATGCCAAACACAGTAACAACAAGTCTCATCATGGAGATGTTACTGGGCCCGCTCGAGCAAATCGATGAACAACGGGAGGACCCTGTGACTGTGACCGTGACCTAACAAGGCAGAAACAGAGACGCTCAAATCACGTCGTCATTGGCAATGTAAATAAAATGAAATCAAATCAGTGAGCACACCCTGTATGCCATGAGTTCACTTTGAAAGTGAAATTAAAGTTGTGTGTGTGCATGGGGGGTGGGGGGGTGGAATTCTTTTCCCATAGCAATGCAAGGATTATGGTTCAGATCCCTACCTCCATTCAGATCAGACAGTTCTGCTGGGCAAGTCCTCAAAAGCTGAGGCCGGTGGAAGGCTGACGGTTCCAGGTCCTGTGATTGCGCCCTGACTGATGTCATCAGTTTCCTTCCAACCGGGGTTTCCAAACCTTACCAGTCACAGGGTCACCATGTGTTTTGTAACAAAACACACGATTGGGCCTGCCCCAAACAGTGATTGTGCCACGTTACCGTTTGGAGCAGAGCCTGGCCTGAAAGTCAGCATTTCTACTGAAACTCCCCAACGAAGCTAGAGAGATAATCCAGTAGGTAAGGCATTTACTTGCCTTGTACGTGGCTGACCAGGATTTGCTCCCCAGCATCGCTTATGGTCCTGTGCCCAGAGCCAGAAGCAAGCCCTGAATAGGGCCAGATGTGGCCTAAAAACCAAAGCAAAAATAAAAATCTTCCAAGTGAAGCTTCGAGGTGATGCCCTCCCAGTGACCGTGCCTTGGCTTTGGTCCTGACTGCCAGGTGCTTTTTACTGCTGGTCTATGCAAAGCTCACTCTGACTTGAAAATAGGATCTCGGGGGCCTTAGAGATAGCAGAGCAGGTAAAGCGCTTGGTTTGCATGCGGCTGATCTAGGTTTCATCCCAGAACATCTGATTCCTCGAACCCCACCAGAAGTGATCCCTGAGCACAGAGCCAGGAGTAGACCCTGAGCATCGTCTGACATGGTCCCCAAATCAAAACAGAATAGCAGGATCTTTGCAGGTTTGCTCAGGTGAGCTTGAGATGAAATGGAAATCCTCCCAGACCCCCACAACCCCTCAATCCGAGGGCTACGGTCCTTACAAGACAGGGCAGAGAATTCCGGAGGGAAGAAAGCTGTGTAGACACAGGCTTGGGAGGATGCTGCCATAAGCCAAGGACACCTGACAAGGCCAGGAGCTTTAGCAGGAAGGCTCCCTCTTCCCCTCCTTCAGCAGCAACTTGATTTCCCACATCTCTCTCCCAGCCGGCAGAGAGTACACTCCTGTCATTTCAGGCTGCTCACTTGGCGGGTACTTGACTAGGGGCGCTCTAGAATGGTTTGAACTTTCCCAAGGGAACCGCCCTTTTGCAGTGTAGGCAGAATTGGGTGCTGAAGTCCGCCAGAGCTGGCTTGCTCCCTGCGCCTGCTTCGTTCCAACTGTGTCTGGGACAAAGCAGACTAGTTGGTTCCTGAGGAAAGCTTATTTTTGGGGGTGACCACCCATGGGGGTGTGCACAAGAGCAGCTCAGGGGCCGGGATGCACGAGGAACAAACAGGCGTCTGGATCCTAAGAGAAGTTGTTTGCAGGAGGAATTTGAGGATTATTCAACCCCCACCCCACCCCCCCTTTTTGGGGCATTTTTTCTAAGATACAAAAGCGCCACTAAGCAGGGTAGCAGCATTGGAGCGGATTTCAAGGACGGACTAACGAAGGGTCTGCGATGAATCGGTGCTTTGGGGCCCTAGAAAGGGCTCTGGGTCACCTTTCCTGGGTTCGGGGTCGTCACCGGAACACACACTGGGGTCCGGGGTTGGCACTTCGGAGCCCTCCAGAGGCTTCTGTCAGGGGGCGCCAAGGTCACGAGTACAAGAAGCAACTGGCGGGCCGTGCTGGCGCCGCTCGGGGCGCAGAGGTCAGCCTGGGGGCATCCCTGACCTTGGGGAAGGGCCTGAGCCCACCGGGAGCCCAGCCGGTGCCAGGGCGCCGCAGGGTCCTGGGTGCGTGCCCAGGCGGCTCTGCAGACAGTCCAGGCCCCGGGGGCCCCCCCAGCCGCGAGCCCTGTCCGTTCTCCCCGTCACGAGCCAGGCCCACAGGGGCTCACGGCCCCGCGAGGTTTTTACCTGGCTGCGCGCGGGGGCGGGCAGGGTCGTGCCATGGTCCGGAGGAAACTTTGTTTCGGGATCAGTCGCCCATGGGCATGCGCAGAGCGGCAGCGGGCGGGCCCGGGCGGGGCGGGCCGGGGCGAGGGGGTGGAGCCAGGTCGGGGGTGTGGCCTTATCCCGGAAGCAGTGCGGGGGCTGGGCCAATGGGCGGGAGGGGCGGGGAGGCGTTCCCGGCGTGGGGCGGGGCCTGCGGCCGCGGGGGCGTGGCCTTCCAGATCGGGCCACCCGCGCGCTTCCTGAGAAACTTTTGGAGGCGAAGGAGCAATTCCCGGCGGCCAGGCTTCTGTCTGCTTGTGCAGGCAGGAAAGTTTAAAGAAAAGGGACATGCGATGCTGGAGACATGAGGCGATCCCCCCCACTCGCGCCCACTTTCGCCGGGCGGTTCCGTGGGCTTGGACACTTGCTGCCTGCAGCCAGCACGTGGACTGAGCACCCCTGGGTGTGGGAGCATCCCTGGAGCTCGCGTTGCCATGGCAGGGAGACCCCAGACCAGTCACCGCGTGCATAAAGCAAGAACCTGGGAGAGCGCTTGGGGAAAGGCATGCCCCAGCACGGGGGAGGCTGATCCCAGAGGGCACAGAGCTGACCCGACAGTGGTCTCTGGGTCCAGCGGGCACCTACATCATCTGGGAGCTGTGAAACGTGCACACTGCTGGCCCTGGGCCCAGAGCTGCTGAATCAGAATCTGGGGCCCAGGCTCGGCTCTAGGAGCCACTGGTCTAAAGGAGTGGAAGGGGCAGGGGTAAGACCAGAGGACCAGCTTGCCAGGACATGGCCAAGGAGGCTGGAGGGAGCAGGTGACCGGGAGCCGGGTTCCCTCTGAGGCCTGACACCAGACTCTGAGGCTGAAGGTAGGACCGACTTCTCTGTAATCCTGGAGTGCGCCACTCCCAGGAATGTTAGGGGCACATGAACACGTTTTAATCTATTTTAAAGAAAAAAGTACTAGAATAATAAGCAATGTGTAAGAAAATGAATCTAGCCTGGTCATCTCGTTACCAATGCTGTGCTAAGATAGAATTGATGATCCTTTTACCCGAGGCATACATCCAAACCACACCTTTTTGCCCAGGAAACTAAAATTGCCCAGGGTCCATGCTGGGTGTTGGGATTGGCTACCCGCACCCCAAGATCTTTGGAAGGGAGCTTTGCTGGGCCAGTTTGTGCAGAGGCGGGAAAGCCTGAGGCACAGTCGTGTTGACCTCAGAGGCTGATGTGGATGACACTTCACCCACACTGGCCCTTGTCTCCCTCTGAGCCACCCCAGGAAGCAAGGACTTTTACCTCGAGGTGTTACTTTCCTGGTTTCTTAGAGTTGGAGTGTGTGTTTGGGGTGAGGGGGAGAATCTTAATTAAACATATGAAGGTGGGCACGGACCACCACCAGCGACTCCCACTTGACTTAATTAACACAAATTGCAGCAACACCATCCACGTGTGTAGGTCATGCAGCCCAGATTCAAGATGAGACCTTTCTGCCCCGGGCTGATTGATCTCACCACCACCTCTCAGAGGCCACTGGCCTATGAATTATGTAGGCCTGACTAGAAATAAGAAGAGGCTAAATGAGCTCCCCGCCCCCGTCTCCACTCCTTCCGTGCTTTGTGTCAGGGTGGTAAGAAGCAGGGTTCCTCGCGCAGGTAATGCAGTGTGAGCCCAGTATAAGACAGGCACTGGGAGTAGTTCAGAGGGTTGAGTTGGGGATAAAAACTGGGGGGGGGGGGGGGGGGTTATTTTCCCTTTTATTTTATTACTATTATTTTTTTGCTATATTTTTTATTAGTGAAACATCATGAGGTACAGTTGCAGACTTACAAACTTTCGTGCTTGGTTTTCAGTTATACAAAGATCCAGTACCCATCCTTCCACCAGTGCCCATTCCCCATCACCAGTGATCCCAGTAGCCCTCCCACCTCCCACCCCTTCTCCTCCACCCCACCCCGCCCCCATGGCAGGGCATTTCCTTTTGCTCACTGTTTCCTTTAGGGTATTGTAGTCTGCGAAAGATTTATACGATCTGAAGAGAAACCAGGGCTGGAGCGATAGCACAGCGGTAGGGCGTTTGCCTTGCATGCAGCCAGCATGGCCGATCCGAGTTCGATTCCTCCGCCCCTCTCGGAGAGTCCGGCAAGCTACCGAGAGGATCTCGCCCGCACGGCAGAGCCTGGCAAGCTACCCGTGATGTATTCGACATGCCAAATACAGTAACAACAAAGTCTCCAATGGAGACGTTACTGGGCCCGCTCGAGCAAATTGATGAACAACGGGAGGACATTGTAGTCTGCAATAGAGGTACCGAGTTGCCATCGTGTTCGGTCTATAGTCTACTTTCAGCCTGCATCTCGCATCCTTCTTTCCCTTCTAGACATTCTCTGTTTGAGGGCCACCCCTACCTTGCTCAGAGCTGACATCAGGCTTTGTGCCCAGCCAGGAATCACCCCTGGTGGTGGGTTCAGATCATTTGCAGTGCCAGGGGTCATACCAGGGCCAGCCATCTGCAAGGCAAGGCAAGGCAAGCTCCTCAACCCCTGTGTTACCTCTCTGGCCCTGGATAGCTTTTTGTGTTTAACTCCTAGTTTTGAAAAGGAGCAAATGAGAGATCAGAGTGGTTGAGTGCCTTGAGGATGGTCACACAGCAGATGAAAGATAGAGGCAGGAGCTTCCCCCCAGAGCTGGGGCTGGCAATAGAGTACTAATGGAGTACCCCCCAACCCGCCCCCCCGAGAGGGTGGGTGGGGCAACCAGAATGGGGAAGATGGTGTTTGAGGGCAGGAGGAAGAGCGGAACTGGTGTGATGGAACGTCCTGAGCTAAGATGTAGGCAGACAGCCTGGCTCTCACTGGAAGGGCACAATTTCTAGGGGAACCCGGAGGGAGAGGCATACAAAGGCATTGGATATCACCGCAAATCAGAGGTCTTTCTAAGAGGAGAGGGGTGGCAGGTCTGGGTTCGTAGGAACACCCCTGCGGAGGCTAAGTGGGGAGAGACTGGGGCAATTGGGAACGCTTCCCAAAGTGTGGACTCGAGCAACCAGAAAAAGCTGCTGTCACCTCCCCGAAGCCCCTTATGGCCCCATAGCCGAGAAAGTCTGAGTGTGCTGGGGTGTTTTTGTAAGGGGGGGGGCTGGCGGAGGGGGGACGTGCTGGCGTGCCCTGATGTGGAAAGCGGCCCGGAGGTGTTTGCCTGTCTCCGGCTGGGCGCACAGTGTCTGTTCAGATCAGAAACGCTTCTTCGTTATGTCTCATGATGCCGGAAGCCAGAACCCGGACAACATCCAGGGTGAAATGCACCATAATTAGATGCTGCTTGATTGTTACAGTGCTCTCTAAAGGAACTTATGTGTGCATGGATGTGTGCGCACTCCCTATCTGTGTTTGTGCATACATGTGTGTATAATGTTGTGTGTATATTTCTGCAAGACAACACCAACTTCAAGGTTCAAGGTCTTCTAGAGGGGCAATGACTTGTCTGCTGCAGGTGCAGGTTTATAGGCAGTGACATAATTCTAGAAAGTGCCTGGAAAAGAAGCGATGCCCCAAGGAAGCCCAGGCAGCCTGTAGAGCTCAGGGAGTGTTTGGAGGAGAAGCAGGTCCCAGGAGCCCAGGCGGACTTTGCAGCCCACCTGCAGCCTCATTCAAGCACCGCACAGCGGTCTGGAGACCTGGGGGTGGAGAGAGCCGGCAAGGAACACACTAGGATTTGGAGCAAAAATACCTTGGGGAAAGACCTCCAACAATTGGCCTGAAGGTGGGGAAAAGCTCTAATCCAGCCGAGGCGCTAAGTGCCCAGGGGATGAGGACCTGGGGGAAACAATTAATGCTTTGATTGCTCAGCAGGGGCTAGGTTCCTCCCAGCCTACTCCTTGGCAGGGGGTCTCTCAGAGGGAGGAGGGAAAGGGAGGGCCCAGATGGCTCCTGCATCCTTCCCAGTACCAGGGTTGCTCTGTCCCACCTCCCATCCCCCCATCTCCTATCAGCTTCCCACCCGCAGAGGAGAGCAAACAGACTCAGCTTTGCCCGGTTCATGGAGGGCAGTTTGGGGACGAGGTTTCTGCAGTTCAGCTGTGACCGGGTCCGCTGTGCTGGGCAGCCGGGTTGTTCAGGGAACGGAGGGAAGGTGCCGTGTGTGGGCAACTCCGTGTCCCCAGATCCCACCCTGTGGATAGTAGGGAAGAGCGGAAATGCGCCCAAGGTTCTCAGGGCCTTCTAGGCAGTCCCGCTCCCCAGGGTGAAAACCCATGCCAGTGTTCTAAGGGGATGCTCTGGGCATTGAGAGGGCGCCTCCTGCTGGCACTGGGCGGCATAGCAGCCCCAGAGGGAAGGTCCGCTGCTAGCTTGGGGTTCCAGGACTCTTGATGAGAGGGCTAAGGAGTTTGGGGCTGTCACCTTCTCCAGTGGAAGGCGTCGACGTGGATGTTGCGGTGTAGAGACACAGGACAGGTGGTTGGTGGCAGCATGGTTGGGAGCTGAGAATCGACTGCCCAGGGACTGCAGCCTCGATCACGATCATCCTGATCATCCTGTTGTTCGTCGATTGCCTCGAGCAGGCACCAGTAACATCTCCTTCATTCTAGCCCTGAGATTCTAAAAAATGCCACATTCAAAGCTCTTTCAGGATTAGGAAAATGAGACCCATCATTGTTACTGGTATTTGGCATATTGGGTACGCCACGGGGAGTTTGCCAGACTCTGTCATGTGGGCAGGTTACATTCAGTAGCCTGCCAGGTTGTCCAAAGCAAGAATGAGATAATAAGATGTCGCACGGCCACATATGCGGCCTGGGTTTTAGAGTGTCTGGGTCTTGGCCGTTGATGGGATTACAGGGCGCCAGGGGGCCAGTTGGTGGGTGTGACCCCCGCCTACTGGAATTTGGAGGATCTGGGTGGAGGATGCTCGGCCCCGATCCGGGCAGGCTTGGAGATCTCAGCCCCAGGACCCTCTTGCCTTTGTTCCTCTGCCAGTACCTTCATGCTTGTGGAGAGTGGTCTCAGCATGGTTGTGGCTGGTTCCGGAGGTCTTCGGCTGCCAGGGCTCTGGTCAGGGC